TTTTTTTTTTTTTTTTTTTTAATATTTAAGGTTAATTTATTAGCCGTTAACCAATCGAACAACTTGCAGAGTTCTTGATTTACAGTCGACTCATGGAACTTAAGATTTTTGTCAGCATATACGGCATTCGTGTCGTCAGCAAATAAAAAAAAGTTTAAGTTTATTGTCAGAGGATTCTTGGATATCGTTGAGGAGAAGTAATAGGCCTAGGACTGAGCCTTTCTGTACACCACAAGTGCTATTTAATTTTTCCGTTTAGATATATCAGAGAGCCAATTTGCGTAGTTTGAGTTCGACCATCCAAGTAAGATGAGAACCACTTATTTTTAACACTACGAAAACCATAGTGATCTAACTTGTGCAAAAGAATTTTATGATCGACTGTATCAAAAGCCTTTTTCAGGTCAATAATTACACCACAAGAGAAAAAGCGCTTGTCCATGTTTTTCTATATGGTACTTAGAGTGTCAAGAATTGAATACGCTGAATGCGCTTTGCGGAAGCCATATTGAGATGGAGAAAGTATATCATTTTGCTAAATGAAAGATTGCATTCTGGAGTAGATCAATTTTTCGAAGATCCTTTTAAAGTTAGACAGCAAAGAAATAGCCCTATAATTGTTTGCATTAGTGTTATCTTCAGGAATAATTTCTGCATTTTTAGTTACAAATACTCAGGGTGGTCGACTCTGTAAGCTATACTGAACTTGTGGAAGTGTTCGGGACGTGCCAACGCAGTCCGCTTGAACCGGACTAAAACTGAAGTCAACAATATTCCTGAATGGCTGGCAGCATAGAACTGCCATGAGACACCGGTATTTATTAATTCGGAGGTTTATCCAATCAGACGGCGGTAAATAACGATCCTGGGTGTTAAAGGGCAGACATGGAGTTTTGTCTCATGATCCACATCACATGCTTTCCTGGTGCCATTTGCGAAATAAGTCTGTAAGTATTGTATTGCACTGGAACTTATCCAGCCAGCAAGGTTAGCTGAGTTTATCCATGACAAACACTTATTTTTTATCAAGTCAATATTAGTGTTTTTGGCTTTTTCAAGACTACGGGAAGCGTTTGCCAAAAAAGACTGAGTTATAATCACACGACAATACTAGAATCCCTCAGGATCCCTCCTCTTCCGGAAAGTACTGGAAAAGAGAGATCCTGGAAAAAAGGTTGGCAACGTTCCTCAAATGCTGACGAGCGTCATAAGTGTCAAGATGGGCTCCTGACGCCGATAAGAAAGAAAATCAAGAACTGAAGCCTTAAATTCGCTTCTTAATTTTACAAGATTTTTGTCGCAAACTGGATCTTTTACAAGCACTGTCGCCAAAATGACCTTGGTCTCCTCCCCCCTCCCGGTACATCGCCAAGATCTCAGTCAGAAAAGGGCTCAGACATAAATGTTGATTAAACGTTCCTGCAAGTGACCCACAGTGAAAATTCAATGAAAAAATCTATGGGTTATTTCATCGTAACTTAATAATACATTACCAAAAAATGTGAAACGATCATTTCAAGAGTAAGCTGCTTGCATTGAGGACTACATTGATGCCATGAAAAGAGTTTTATCAATGAATTACCTATTGAACTCGGTCCGTCACTCGGTTCTGCAAGGTGATAAGATCCATTGATCAGCCGCTTGATAATCTCGTTCTTGCAGAGTAGTGCAAACTTGTGAAGGTAAAGATTGCCTTTTTCATCCATGTCCAACACACACATTTTGTTGCTCTTCTGCTCCAAACCCCTGATGGTTTAAAAAGACAATACAGCATAATGTACTATTAGTTCCTTTTTCGGCTTCAAGCGATTTGGAGATTATATACGACTGAATGAAACATGCCCGGCTCAGTGAAAAACTGAATTATATAGAACAATAAAATTCCTTTAAAAACGTCGGACTTGGGAAGTCAGCAACTTCATACTACTGCTACGACTGTTGCTACGATTCTAAAAGTGGCGGCTGTAAAATAAAATATGATATTAAGTATTTTAAAAACGTTTTACCTTCGGAAAGTGACGGACCTGGTAGAAAATTAAAGGGTCAAGGTTAAAAATCACAAATGCACGGTTTCAGGAATACCAGTTGGTCATTTTTAAGCGTAGCCCAAGAATTGAATTCGGGTCTACCACGAAAGGAGTCTTGCTCTAACGCAATTGCAACCCAATGTCGACGTCGAAGTTTTCGTTTCAAACGACATCAGACGTATTTCTTTGTTGGAGTTGTGGAGTAAAGCGGTTAGAAGGAGAACTTTTCAGAAAAAAATAATTCGAATTTTAAACGAATTAGATAATTATCTAGCCATCTGATTGATCTTACCTCGGTGTTAAAGCAATGATGGAGAGTAAAACCAAAGCGAAGCTAACGTGGAAGAACATCAGTTTTGCAGGTACGTTTGAAGTTCGGTCGATTGGCTCGGCACGAAACGTCTGTGCTCAGCACAGATGAAAAACTAAAAAAGGAAGGAATTATGCGATTTAAGAAAAAACTAAAACTTATAACAGAGAAGCCGGAGCTTGTTAAATACTTACTGCTCCTTGTTCAAAACGGAATGCGCCTCTTGTTGAAAAACTGCTTAATCTTATGTGTTTGATGGTTTGTTTAGTACTGGTCGATTCTGGATTTATCTAATGGAATATCAATTCTTCATTAATTAGTATTGATGGGCTTGGCACGTTTTGTTTTCTTAGCAAAGCACAATTGGTTAAAATTGCTTTAAAGTTTGATTCGGCCGCCTGAATCAACAAAACTGACGCCGCAGAATTGAGATCAAATAACTAGTGATGTTATAATTTTATTCTTTGAAAGAAGTAACCGTGGAATAGGTTTTTTTCGTAGACACGAAATTTTTAACAAGTTATTATTTTTTGTAGAATTTCGCAAAACATGAATGTTTGTTGAAGATCGATTTAGAGCAAAAGAAAAATCTTTGTCCCTTGTGGAAAACTGAGCTGTGATAACTTGGGCAATAAATAAAATAAGCTTTCAGAACTTCTTTATTTGCTAACTGTGAGAAGAAGACGCCTGTACAAGTGTATATATCTAGATAAACCCTTTATAAATGCTTTTAACGATGAATTTAAGTGTTTGTAAATATAACTTTCTGTATTTGTGAACTCTTCCCTCTCCGTCCCCCGAAAATAAAAGAGAACTTTAGCCTAGTTCGTCGTCTTCTTTTGTCACACTCAGAGGAATTTTCGTTCAAGTTGGACGTTTTTCTATCTTGAGAGAGAATATTTATTTCTTTTCAATTTGGGAGACTATAGTGAAACTTAAATATATCTCTGTTATCAAAACAAATTAGCAATATATTGATATTTGTTGAAAGGGAATGTCATGTTTCATCTTCGCAGATGCTGTACATGAATTCAGCTGCTGAATGCGAATCAGCACGACTGCAAAAAATGAATTTCGTTTTTCAGTATTTAAAAAGTACAAGTGCTTTCCCTCAGCTCTGGAATACTACAATCCCAGTAAATTTCAGTTAGGCGCGAGTTTCAATTAGCTTTGTTTGCATCACGTATTTAGTCTTGTAAGAGTCAACTGAGGAATGTTTTTTGTTGATAACACTGAATATACAAAGTGTAGAGCATCAATTAATTATTTGTTTGAGTATTCTGAATGACAAGTATGATGGCTTTTCGTATCAGCACAAATAGACAAACTGAAAGTGGCCCTTTGTCTTTTGTTTGCTATTATCTTTGTTGAATTTGTTAGAAGCAAAGATGTGCTCAAGCAGTTTAAGGCCTGGGTCAGGAATGTAAAGTAGAATTATGGTTGGGCAGCTATATCTCTTGTTGTATTTGTTTTACCAAGCTGAACTTTTCCCTGATTATAAAACTCGACGTCCTGCCTTCCCTTAACATATTATTTTGATCACGTGACATGTCACGTGATCATTTTGTTAAAATTTGGTAAATCGGCGAATTGGTGGCGAATTTTCACTATGTTGATCAATAAATGAGGGTTTGCGATGCAATTTTAACCTATCTACCTTGCTACGTTTGGAATGATCTCCCTTGATTTCGTTTATAGAATATATAAATGATCAAAAGTCGGATTTTGTTGAAAAAAGGACCTTTCACCTTATAAAATTTTTCTGCGAAAAGAGGGACGGTCATTCCAAACGTGAGAGGATGGTAATAATTGACCTGCATCTAAAACGCATTTTTGCAGGACGTTATTACTAAAAACCGCCACCAATTCCTCAAATAATGGCTATTTTCCGCTAGGTCACGTGACATGTCACATGACCTGTCAAAAGTACCAATTCTACTTTAAAATGTTGAGGACGTCAAAACCTAACTGTGTGCTCAAATCTGGTTCCATTGCCATTTAAACCTTCAGAAATAAAACTAATAAATTATTTTCACCAGTAAAAGCCTTTCACCCAGGCCTTAAACTACTTGAGGAGTCTTATATTACCTAATTCTGAGTCAACAATGATGATAGTTCCGCTACAAGGCTCTTATTACGCATACCTCGTTTGTCCTTTATTTTCGTTGGCTTTTGGCTTCCTTGAGTGAATTTGTTAAAATAGAACAAACATAAAATAAAGAATCAGATAATGACGATGACGAAGATTAAAGTTTTGTTATTTGCAGTAAGTACAGCCGTGACAGTTTTCTTGACATACCAACCTAAATAGACAAATTATCTATTATCTTGTCTTCAGTTTTAGTTTCT